AAAGTTCATGTCAATCGACATGAAGAAGAAGAACACACTCCAACATTGGACCCTCTCAACACACACACACACACAAAACACATGCTCTTCGCACACCATTCATAATTTAATAACACTCTTAAATAGACTTCCACTAGTTAAAACATTTTGCACCATAAAGGCACATAATTAAAATCTAAGCAGTTGCAATTGGTCCAAGATTAGCCGCCTTATCCATGTTCTTAAAAGCTTCGAACCTCGGCTCCTTCGCCTGGAACTTGAGGCCTGCATAAAGCTTCATATAGTCCTCGAATACGAATTTCGGGTAAAGCTCGTTATTCTCCGCCTTCTCCACCAATGCCGGTGCCGGATATATCACAGCATCGCTTCCCGGGTTGTAAAACGAGGCTAGCGACATCCTCCCGGTACCATCTGTCTGAGCAATCACCCTGTGCATTACGCTCTTGTACTTTCCATTTGTTATCACCTTCATACATACATACATACACATCAAAATCAAAATCGCGCGACGTATAAGCAAGAAAATTCAAAATTGTGAATAAAATTTGACTTGACCATAAACAGTAATAGTAATAGTCTGAGGCAGCCTAATTTCGCGTTGTACAAGCAAGAATATTAAAAATTGTGATTAATTTCTGACTTAGACCATAAAGAGTAATAGTTTGAGGCAGCCTAATTGTTAGTATCGCGTTGTACAAGCTAGCAAGAGTATTCAAAATTGTGATTCATTTCTGATTTAGACTATAAATAGTAATAGTTTGGGGCAGCCTAATCGTTAGTCTGATCGATCGACAATTCAAAATTGTGATTACTTCTTACTTGACCATAAATAGCAACAATCAGTAGCTTGAGGCAACCTAATCGTTAGTCTAGTCGACTGAAAATTTAAAATTTTGATTAATTCTGACCTGACCATAAATAGCATCAATAGTAACAATCAATAGTTTTAGGTAGCCTAATCGTTAGTCTAGTCGATTGAAAGTTCAAATTTTTGATTAATTCTGACCTGACCATAAATAGTAACAATCAGCAGTTTGAGGCAGCCTAACAGTTGGTCGATCCATCAAATTATTCCAACAAAAAAATGCGTATTTTTACACAATCAATACAAATGTCATACTTCTATTTATATATTGTTTCTTAAAGTACGACATATTTTTCGAGAGTTGTACCTCAAGTTGGTCGCCAATGTTGACGACAATCGAGTGTCGCATGGGGGGAACGTCGACCCATTGCCCGTCTTTGAGGAGTTGGAGTCCGCTCACCTTATCGTCTTGAAAGAGAAGAATTATTCCACCGGCATCCGTGTGGGCCCGAAGGCCCTTGATGAGATCGGGCTTCGGGCACGGCGGGTAGTTGCTTACCTTGGTGCCGAAAGTCGGGCCTTTCGACCCATAAAATACCTTCTTCAAGTAGCCCATCTCAAGCCCGAGATTCTCGCAGAGCAGATCCAGAAGATGCTCCGCGAGTTTCTCGAGTTGGGCCGCAAATTCCTTCATTACCTCCCTGAATTCAAAAGTATTTAAGAAGTCATAAAAAGTAATTTATTTATTTGTTTTATTTGGAAGAAAATTACATTTAT